GTAATATATAAAATTTTTTCGTTAGATTTAACTTGTATATGAAAAATACATTTTATAAAGATTTAATATGTATCTAGTACTATAATTTTTCTGTCCTAATTCTCCCATCAATGTATTAAATTTTCTGTTAGACTTTGGTTAGATTTAATAAAATGATATACATTTTAGCTTGCTAGAACATCTGAGAAGGGATCAGGATATTTATTACATTCATATCCTTCATCACTTCTTATTGTTTTTTTAACAGCAAGCAGAGTAGTATAAAATAAATCTAACAAAAATATGTTGAAAATGTAGCCTAAAACATAAATCACATGTCATTCGAGTGTGGTCTAAAGTAAAAATTCCACGTTATAGTTAGACTTAATCGGTTAGAAATAGATATGGTTAGAAAATGATAACGGATATGAGCTTCCAGCAGGGCTAGCACACTATTGTCAAAATTGATGGTTTTGTTCCAAAAACCCCAAATTTACAATGTGTTTATCAAATCAGAAAAACAGGCCAGAATCTTAATGTTCCGGACGATCTGGTTCTGGTAAAACAATTTTTGAAAATAGAAATTCCGCAGTAGTAGATCTACTAAACATGTGAGTCATGTCTATTTTTCATCTGATGATGATTAGCAATCGGCATGACATTTCACATGACCTTCTTAAAATAAACAGACATGTGACGATCATTCATTGGTCAGCATGATTTAAGATCAACATATTAATTTTCTAGGGTTAATGTCGATTCTAAACATGTGATTTTCAAAAAAGGATAAATTACATCTGCATTGAGCGAATTTCCTTTTTGAATAATTCCTAATAGGAAATTTCACAGAATTACCTTTTTGGGTAATCCTAAATTAAGAAGAGATCGACCCAACCCATGTGATTTAAGGTTAGGGTTTTGTTGTTTTTATGTTTTCGATGAAGTAAAATATCAATTGGCGTTGAGCTCGAGGCAAATTGATTATTAGTCAAAATAATCGAAGAAAATCAAGATGGTCTACTCCACCTCAACCCTCAAACCCAATGGTTATATATACCTAATTTCAATAAAACATGGTACAAATAGAGGTCATTGACTTATAGTACTTTACACGTCTAAAAGAGGAAAAGTAATACATCCGAGATAAATTATTAAAGAAAGCGACATACTATTATTTTAACAACAAAAAAAGCGAAACGCATGGTGACTTCTAGTTTTAAAACACTGTTATCTGTGCAAACCTTCTACAATTTATAAAGACAACGGGATAAAATAATACTAAAACTAATAAATAAAACTAAGTATAATTATAAGAATTACTAATCTCGTAACAAAATTATCACAATACAAGGGTTTATATATAGAAGGAATTATGTACGATCAATTATGAAAGAGGTGTATTTACTATTAACAGTGGTATGAAAACTTGTTAATAGGAGCAACAGTTTATCAATTATCAAAAGAATACAATAAACAAGGAACTCAAAGGATTTTGTAATAT